TGGAAGACATAGTATTGAACGGAACTTGTGACAACTTAAGAGCTTGAAACTCGATAAGGGTATCCGACAGTCGCCTGCCAAAGTCTTCCTTTGTCCGTCTTGTTGTTTTCTTAGTGTTTTGTTTTCACATCCGCTTATAAATAACTGCTTTCCCCTGATTTAGTCGCTCTGATTTCAATTTACAGCTGTGCGAACACAAAGCACAGTACGAATATCTACTAGTATGACAATTAAGTTTTAGCCTGCACTTGCAGTAACGGTCTTAATAGTTGATCTTTAAACTTTTCAATTAAAAGGTCAGAACGAGAAAACTAGTGAAAGTGAAAATGAATATTCATAGTTTAATTATTGACCAATTTGTCCTAAACTAGTTCTTAATCATCATAAAAAACAGTTTTTAGTAAAGCAGTGTATCAACACTTTGCGCAAGCTTATAATCAGTATTTAGATAAAAGTGGGCTTTTTATGAAGTAAAATCCATATTTTTGTAGCTTAGCCATGTAAAAATGTCCGTATATCTTAAGTAATACAATTTTTCAAGATAGACATAAATTTAAAAATATTAAATGGTTTCAGCACCAACATTAAATAGTTCGTAAATTCAAGTTGTTCCCACAGCTTTAATGCAACCCTATATACCATTGTTTACCATTTGAAAGGCAACTTTTGCCAACTCTTCAAGTTGTTTGTTTGCATAAGTTTAAACAATTAACTCATATAGCCAGTGTACTCGGAGAAAGTGGAACCAGTAGCCTTCCGCATTCTAAATGCGACTCACGTTACACCAACCAAGTGCCGATAAGTATTGTATATAGCACACAAACAGTTGCAGTCAAAACATAGGAACGCCCGCCTTTTTTGGCTTGCTTTCAATGCGCAAATTAAATTTAATGCTTTACCAGATAGTAATCTATATAAAAATAATTAACATTGGGGTTTTCAGTCGCATATATATATATGTAAATTATTTCCAACTCATCATTATCAACTAAAAATATGAGAATTTATGTCAGCGTTGTCGTCATAATTTTATTATTTTTGTTTGTCAGAAGTATGAATTAGAGCAGATTAATAAAAATGTTTCTTTTTACTTTATGGCTTTAGATGACATAAGTATTTTTTGGGGTTATTTATATTGATTGTTCTTTTATAGCGGAAGTTCTGAAACGGATTGGATTTTTTGTTATTCTCAAGAAATATTTTTTATTTATTATGGCTATGTTATGGGTTATTTTTCCCATATATAAAAGACAACTGTTTCCAGACCCTCCTATTTTTGTGACCGCTTCTGTAGAGACTGCGTCGTGTGGGCGTTGTGTCTCGGTCAGTTCTAAACTCTGAGTAAACACTCGTCCAGCGGGATGCAGCCCGTGCCTGGGACCACATCAAGCGATATCCACGAAAAATCAATGTTGGGCAAAGATATATTTACACACTCATTGGCAGCCGGTGAGTCACTCTGTGCACTCGAGCGCTAAGCTTACGCACAGCTTTGGAGATGGTAAATGGAGCTATCTATATGATGATATATGTGTGTGCTGGAATCGGGTGCCGGAGTAGGTGAATATAGGCGCCCTCGTCATGTGGCCAATGGGTTGGAATGCATTGGGAGTGAGGCCGAGACTGGGAAACCAGTTTGATTGTGCCCTGTTTTTGCATAGAAAGCCGGCAAAAGGCCATTTCACTTGGTGAATAGTGTAGCTCAACTGGAATCGGAAAAAAAACGAATGAAAATTCACAGGCGATAAGCGGACACACACACACACACGCAGCTGATAAGGGACTCCCTTATCACTGCTCATATTGAACGGACAAGTGTGTAGTCCCGGAATTTATGGCCTGCTAAAAGCTGCGATCCAACCATTCAACAATCCACCGCTCAACCGCAGGTCGGGATCAGGGGTCTCTTTATGGATGGAACAAACTGGTTTCTCGATGGTGTGGCAGGTGAAACGACGACCTCAATGCTCGAGTGCGCAAATTCCAGGTCCCAGGTCCCATCATCATCGCCGTTGGAGGGGCTTTAATTAATGTCAAGATAGAACGCTCGCTTATCGCGCTTCGCTAGCAAATAGCAGTTGTTAAGAAACATAAACAAACCATTTCATAAGCTTTATGACGCCAGCGTGAACGTGAGCAACCAAACTGGCCCAGCTAGATCTCTAACATGTCTATATAATATCTGTATAACATATGACGCCTGCGAAAGCGACAATATCTTTTTGACCTCTACTTTTAAATACCACTTTATGGCTCGCAAAAACTGTTATCTTATTGTTTGGCAAAACAAAATCATGCTTGGAATTCACATAAAAAAGGGGTCTTGAAGTATGGAAATCTGTGTTATAAACGAAAACAAAAATTAAGCGGGCTTTTATAGACCTTGGGGTGTCTTTTATGATAGGCAAAGGGTGTTTTGTCAAAAAACCATATTTGGTTGAGATTTACGATGTTCTTTGTTAATTATGGAATTATGATTCCCTCTTTATAAACATTTTTAAAACTGGTTCGATTAACTGTGTTTCGTTATAAGGAGTTTGACAGTAGATAGTAAAAGTCTTTGTTTTCGACTCAGATAAGATATACGATACATGGCGAGTAATAAGTGAATTTACGAATACACTTTTTAAGATCTTTCTTTGATATACTTTATAGGCCTCTTTTTATCTCTTGTTTATTTACGATTGGATTACATGGACACTATGATACAAAAGAATAATAAAGAAAGAAGCTCATATGGCTGAAGGCAGGACCCAAAAAACACTAACCTCTGCCACGAACAAGTTCAAAGTCAAAGCGAACTAATTAAATAATCCGTATTGGAAGCATCAGGAGGCGTAGAAAGCGGAAAGCAGGTGAAAGAATGTTTAGAGAGAAATGGGAGAAAGAAACGGGAGAAATGGGAGATGGTGAATGGGGCAGAGTAGTGAGTGGAGAGTTAAGACAAATCCGGCCAAGAACCCGTCCGACCAGATGAAACTGAACCGTTGCCTGACACAAATAGGCCGGGCCGAAAAAGGTAGAGGAGATTTGATTGAATAACGTGCAGTGAATCACTGGGAACAACGACTAAAGAAGAAAAAACTGATATGATATTGATGACTTTACCAGCTGCCAGCATTTCAATTAAAATGACATATCTTTAATATGCGAACAGAGAATATAAAATATAATGGGCAAGACTGGGTTTCGAACCTTTATTTTGATATCTTAAGTAAAGAATTGATTTCGATTTATCGCTTAACAAATGATATGAATATTGTAAAAGGTTACTAACTCGAGAGAAAAATGTACAAACGATATGCCTAATCAGAAACATTAGTTGATTAAGTATCAAAGAACCAGCCCTCTGAAAAATGAAATCAGAACGTATCTATATATTTTTTTTACGTGTAAATATCTGGTTTTAATCGATCTGTTTTCTTTTCTGTGTATGACTTGTTATGACGGGTTAATGAGTTTTGGAGTTATAGATGTTGGAGGTTCTACTGTATCTGTAGGATCTTATCTTTGGTGTAGAACTAGCAATCTGGTTAACTTTAAGACTTGATATGGGTGGTGGGGGTATGGGTTTCGTGCTTTATCGATGTGTCCTGATCTTTCTCGGATTTTGACCCGGTGACCTTCACTTACCGGACTTTTCCCCCGCAGAACTGGCACTCCGGTCCCTGCCAGCCGTCGGCGCAAAGGCACTGGCCGTCCTCCTGGCACTGCCCGTCGTTCTGGCAGCGTCCTCCATGGGCGGTGCAGTTGAAGGCGGCCGCGCGGTGGAGTCCGCTGAAGCAGCCGTGGAAGAGGAGCAGCGTGAGGAGGAGCAGGCATTTTCGCCTGTACTTCGCATTGAATGTGGGTGAGGTGCTGCTCCGGTTTGGTTGCTTCAGCGGCTGCTCCGCCAGGCACATGATTCCCTTAGTTGATTCCGATATTCACCGCCCCCGCAGCTGCAGCTTCACATCGTCGTCGTCGTTGTCCTGCTGTCCGGCGAGTCCTTCGATTTTCGCGACTATTGCACAATTTTCCTTTGGGCCTTTCTCCCTGGCCTGTTTTTCTTTTTTTGCAATCTTTGCAATTCGGGGCAACCCAAGGCCCCCCGCTCACACACACACACACAGGCACACCCACTCTGGACACACACTCACTCACACTCGCGTACGCGGCTGCACAACAAACAATATTGGCGAAAAGAAACAACAACCTGCATCCAGCGACTGGCAAAGTTATTGACAATTTAACAAACGAAAACGAGAAATCTGCTGGGCGGTCAGTGCTGCACAACGCTGCACTGCTTCGGCGTTTCAGAGTACTGGCTAACGGGTTGCAAAGGGCTGTCTACCCATTTTACTATCGATAACAAATGTGTTATTTTTTAAGAACATTAATGTAATTAAGAAAATATGTTTAGATAAGCTTATATTAAAAAATATAAGCCACAATGCATCACTTTGTTGCATCATCATGTATTATGTTTTATCTAAAAGTTTATAATATTTTTGAAGTTCACTTTAATTCAACAGATTAATAACAAAATGATTAATTTGAATTAATTAGTCTCTGTATTAAGTGTGAGCTGAATTTAAAAATATTTATCTAATATGCCATCATTATCTATCAAATTATTTAAAGGGTACATAATAAAATTAAATTACTAATAACAAAATGTAATAAAATTATTTTTGGTTTCTATGCAACTAAATATCGATACCGTTATCAGTAAATACTTTTTGTCAGCCCTGGTGGTCACCTGGTCAGGTGTCACAGATACAATCGATATCTTATCGTTGCAAGCAGTGCAGCCCTCGCGGGCGTTACAAGCCTAACAGCACAGTTACAGTTACAGCTTTCTGTTAGCAGCGCTGCTATGTTTATTTGTTTATTTAAAAACTATAAATAAGTGTAGAATGTAGAGTAGCATATCAAGACCTTGGAAAATTGCGTAAAGTTGTGTTTCGTAGGAAAATAGAAATCTCTTGTTTCATAGAAAGTAACGGCCCCGCTAACAGTAAACAGAAAATCAATACCCGTTAACAACAACCGGAGCGCGTAAATTCCGTCAGTTTGATAAGAACTATGCGGATGAGGTGTCCCAGGCGCAGGCGCGCTCTCGCCGCCCCCCTTATCCTACGGAAAAAGCCTGCTAACTTTCCGGAATCGAAATTCTCAGACAGTCCACGTTCGGGCGTCGTTGCAAGCAGTGTGTGCTAACGGTACTCCAACCGCGCTGCATGTGCGTTCCCCGTTTGCATTTGTGTGCGTGTGTGTGAGACAGGAGAGGAGAGGAAAAAAAAATAAGGAAAATAACAGGAAATCGGGAAAAAGTAACGGGAACGTCTGCCCCAAAACAGTTGGAAAAACACACACACACACCGATTCCGTTGGCGATGCACCAATTTTTCGGTTGAAAACCCGTAATTCGATTGGATTGGATCAGTTCCGTTTTCCCATAGCAGCAGGACTTTCAACGGTACGGTAGCACTTCAAGGAGCAGCCAGAGCAGCAGAGAAGGGGGCGGGGACTTCACAGGTGAGTTGCGGAATTCCGTTGTCCCCTGGCTGGCAAACATCCTTTTTAGCCTCTCTCACTCGGTGGTGGATTGGCCACGGCGAATGTCTATACCACAGGCCAAATTCCCTAAATCGAACGGATTAAGGAACTGAAGTGTTTAGTTTTCTTAAGAACTTAAGTTTCTAACATTTGGAGAAAAAATTCTTTGAAAATCTTGTTGAAAAAAGATATTTTAGTGAATTGAATTCGGAATTCGGAACGAATCCATATCTTAAAAAACTCTAGGGTTTGGAATTTAAAAGCCTAAGCCAAGAATACAAATCTTGATTCAAACAAGGCTTTTAGCATGTGCGCAACTAAAACGTAATGTTTAACTTTCCCAAGTTAATACAACGAGAATCATCAGAAGAGATTTACAAACCATTATTGTTATTAGAGATTAAAGCCTGTTCCCTCAACTGTTAAGTATACAGAGGGTTTTTATAAGTTAAAAATAACGGTATCTAATATTCAACTTTCTGTAACAATCAGCTCCCCCGCTTCAGTTTTTCCATAGTTAGTTTAAATTCGTGTTAGGGAAGTTCGACCGTATGTGGGTGAGTTTTTGTTGTGGCCACATCAGTACAACACCTTGGGCGCCACAAAAAACTCCCTGAATTCTGGGCTAATTAAAGGTGCTTCGTTGCCTTAGTTCTTCACCTTGGTTAAACGTTTTTTTTATCAGCCATATTTGCTTGTACCACACGACTTAAATTCCCAGCGATTCGGTTACGTTTCTAGTTTCAGTTGAGTGAGCCGCCCACGCACGTTTTCGATTAATCCGCATCAAACAACCAATGACAGTGAAAATCGATCGGCATTGGCTTTCACAGTGGGTTCTCCGGTTGTGTTGTGTTTTCCCTGCACTGGAAAAAAGTAGGCCGTGTTCAAAGCCCACCGATGCCCTAGGAATTTTTTTTAGTATTCTCTGATTGAATATTCAAATTTAAACTTTTAGCTTCATATTTTAATTGCTGGTATATGCAAAATATTCTAAGAGAGGTATGGGTTCGAATCCCACTTCTCTTTTTCTTTTTATACCCGTTACTCGTAGAGTAAAAGGGTATACTAGATTCGTCGGAAAGTATGTAACAGGCAGAAGGAAGCGTTTCCGACCCCATAAAGTATATATATTCTTGATCAGGATCACTAGCCGAGTCGATCTAGCCATGTCCGTCTGTCCGTCTGTCCGTCTGTCCGTCTGTCCGTCTGTCTGTCCGGATGAACGCTGAGATCTCGGAAACTATGAGAGCTAGGCTATTGAGATTTGGCGTACAGATTCCTGAGCTTCCTACGCAGCGCAAGTTTGTTTCAGTAGACTGCCACGCCCACTCTAACGCCCACAAACCGCCCAAAACTGTAACTCCAACAGTTTTGATGCTAGATAAAAAATTTTAACTGAAATGTATTGTTCTCATCAATACCTATCGATTGACCTAAAAAAAAGTTTGCCACGCCCACTTAAACGCCCACAAACCGCGAAAACCTGTGACGCCCACAATTTGCATGCTACATAAAAAATTTTAACTGAAATGTATTGGTGTCGTCAATACCTATCGATTTATCCAAAAATAAATTTGCCACGCCCACTCTAACGCCCATAACGCTTAAATCTGTTTACCGCCGGTAGGTGGCGCATTTTAATCTCGCTTTGCTGCTTGCATATCTCCATTTAGCTGAGTAACGGGTATCTGATAGTCGAGGTACTCGACTATAGCGTTCTTCCTTGTTTGAATTATTTTGATTAGGGTATATTATTAATTTCTGTAATATGATGTTAAATCTTTACATGATTACCATTTTTCCTTTATGTGCGCTAATCGAGAAAAACGACTCCGGCGGGAAAAGTTCAGCCGGAGAAAAGAGCTATCCATCCGGAGCACACGGCTATAAAAAGGCCGTGGAAAATGCGTGCCGAAATTGAAATTCCGTTAGTTGGTCAGCCGGGGCGATAAGCATTTAAGCCACATAGCCCATAACCGTTACATTTGCATTGGGGCGACAGCTGGACGGGATGTATTGTGCACGTGTGTGTGCATGGATGTGCGGCAATTTCTCAGTTTGCATAATTTAGATACTCGCTGCCAGCGTCGACGTCGGCAGCGACGCCAACGCATGACCGCCAATGTATTTTTCTTGTTGTTTTTTTTTGTGTTCTTGGCGCTTCTCTTTGAGAAATTATTTTTAAGTTTGTGTGTGCTTGAATGCGGGGGTGTGTGTGAGTGCTAGTGAGTGTGCCAATGTGTGTTAGCGTTGCGTTGGCGCTTGGCTGCCAAGGTCATTACATTTTGTCTTATTCCGCTGCGTTTCAGCTGACCCCGCCCCCTATTTCGCAAACACAGTACAACATCGATAGTTTGGATAATATTGCGTTTACTAAATTTTTCTAAAATACTTCAAACTTTTCCATAAACCCGAAAAATCAAATTGAAAACCCAATTATACATTTCTATACGAATAATATAGTAATACAAACATAAGATTTTCTATATTAATATTAATTTTTAAAGTATCTTAAAAAGTAGTCCAAAACAATTGTAGTTTTATTTACTACATGAAGAAAAAATCTTTAAAATGTTAAGATTGTTCTAAATAGTCAGGGATATTTTGTATTTCTTAAAAAAATGTATATTCGTATATTTCCCTACGGTAGAACCTAAACGTTTAAGTTAAAAAGTTGTCTTTTTTATTATTTTTCAATATTAAAGAGGACTGTGCGTGTTTTCACTTTCAAGACTATAACTATAGTTTGAATTCGGTTTTCACAAATGATTCATGCTTTTATCTCTTGGGTTAGTTTTTATTACAGTACAAGTAATGTTCCTATTTGCACTTTAAGATTATTTATTAAAATAGACTTTGTTACTCAAGAGATTGCGGTTCAAACTAGAGAAGTTGGACTGTATTCCGTCGCGATTTGCATTATATAATTCGAGCTGACGTCGGGAGGACGATGTGGCGGGTCTTTGTGGCAAGTTCAAGTGCAGTTTGCTCGATTTGCGGTTTTTTCCGAATGTTTTGCCAATATTTTCGCCATTGACAACAGGCGGCTTTGCTTTTGTTTTATTTTTTCTTTTTTTTTCTTCTCGGGATTGTTATTGTTTGTGTTATTCCTTGCCTTGCCAATATCTGAATATCTGCCATGTTGATTATTTTGCATAACTGAAGCAGCAGTAGCGGCGAAATGGAAATAATGGAAAAATTGTTTATATTGCCAAGGAGAAGTAAAAACGCACCCAAAACAAGATACATTTGGGTAACTCTGTAGCGCCACTGAGGCGCACAATTTTCCTCCAACATGTTTTCCAAAAGGGAATCGAAATGGGAGTGGGAATGGGGCAGGGAATAAGAATGGAAATGGGGTTGGGGCTGGGGGTGGTTGGTTTAGGTTAGGTTAAAGTAGAAACAAATTATACGACACACACCCCCAGCTGCCCCAAACCCCCCGGTAGAAAGTCAATAAACAAGCACGAACAATGGGAGGGCAGCCGGGGAAAATCGGGGGAAAAGAGCCCAGCGTCAGCTTTTATATGGCATTTCCCCAGTGTTTTCCCCATCGGTTTTCCACCATTAAAGCTCAGTGCACACATAGAAAGACATTCGATGTAGCCGGCGAACCCTAAGAGCTGTTTTTCCCAGCTCCCTTCTGCGTATTTGTCAATGTTGCTTTTCTTGGCTGTCATTTATTTCGTCATTTATGCAAAATTTTATTGCTTTTTCTCGTCTTCTGGTTGTTTTTCCACCTCCATCTCTACCTTCGTTTTAAAAGAGTTAAGGAAAAAAGGGAGTGGTACTTTTCCCTGCCCGGAAAAACCTTGCCAATTAAATGCATGCACGTACTATTTGGTGTCGCCTTTTGTTGTTTGCCAGTTTTTAATGTTTTCTCCTTTTCAAACGCATTTTTGTGCTTGCTGACGTGTGGCTAATTAAAGCAAATGCCCCATGGCCAGTGGAAACTGAACTCCCAGCAATTACTTTCCCCATGGGGTAACCAAAAAGAAATTGACGGGGGCTAGGTGGTCTTTGAACTTGTTTCAATCTCACTGGTTGCCTGGCATGCGGCATACAACAAAGGCGACACACATAATTAGGGGAAACTTAAAACCAAAGCCAGGATTAGATCCTTTTTCACAGCGGTGGTTACTGGCAGAGTTATAGCCTTAAGGATTGAAATTTGTCTCGTAAATTACATATGAGATTTATATTGTTTCTTTACTAGAGAGTTCTATAAAAAGTTATAAGTATGTATATGATTTAATTGAAAAACAATGTCTTGAAAATGTATCAGTTAATGTTAAATATAATATTAAGTGTAATATTTTCAATAGGTAATTAGAAAACATATATCAAAATAGATTTTTTAAGGCAGTTCTCTCATTTGAAAGAAGTTGAGCTTTATAGAAATATTAATATCAATATTATTATAAACAACTAATAATAATATTAGCATTTTCATTAAAGAAAAGTAAATAAAGTATGTATGAAATTTAATACAAAATCAATATGATTTTGTTAAACATTTAAATAATCATAATGACTAGGTAAAGGAAAAACCAACTAATCTTAATTAGCCCAAATCATCTGTTTTAATTTTCTTCAAGTAAAGATAATAAAAGATAATAACTCATGACGAGAAACCAAACATTTTGTTTATCATAAAATACCGTAAACAAAATTACTTCCCATATAGGAAATATCCTCACCCAAGGCTTCTGATTTACGAGTGGCCTCTATGCACTCCATATAATATATTTAACTGAAAACCAAAGGCTGGCATAAATACCCTACCGATACATGTCGTCATGTGAGCACTATATGTGGAATATTTTCCTGTGGCCAACGTCACGAAAACTTTCGAGTCGAGGGCAACGCACACACAAATTCCGAATTGGGCACAAAGTTGTTCGCTGTTCGTTCCTTCCACTCGACTTTGCCGTGTGGTTCTTGTTGTGCTCGGTATTCTTGTTGCATGCACCGCTGCACTTCCATTATACCATATTATACTATAAAAAAAGTATATATGCAAAGGAGCAGCGGGCTGGGCTAGTTTCAGGCGGTTCAAGGGCATTCCCGGACCGCTGACAGCGATAAACGAGACGGGGACAAGGAAATATGAACAATGCCAGCTCGTTAGGTAGATGAAAAGAATGATGAAAATGAAATAATTGCGTGCATTCAAATTCCGTCCGGTGCCCCAAGGATCAAAAGCAAATTGCCACAATTAATTCGCAGACATGATGGAGGGACATGCGCGAGGGATAAAAAAGTAAATCAGGATTTTAGCGTTATTAAGTGGGTGGGTGGGCTTTGGGCCAAGCCACTGGCCTGGACATAAATACACATTAAGTACACAGACAGTGGGGGGATCAAGTTAATCTCGAATATAGTGTAAATATGAGCCTGGAATTAACTTGATACAGTGTGCAGTATATAATATAAATCCTATACTAATTAACTGCGTGTTAGGGACTTCATTTAGATTATATAAAACTAAAAATTTAATTTAATGTATACAAGATAAAACTATTCTAAATTAAAGCATAATCCTTTGAGCATAGTCCTTGTGTATAGTCACACCAAAACAAAATCGGCTTAGAGCCATAAAATAAATTTATTGCTATTGCACAGTTTTTTACTATACATAGACGCCATGGTTTAATGGCTGATGTTTATTACAGTTTTATTTATTTCAATGATTTTTATTTTTCTATTAAAGGGATTAAAATGTTTTAGGTTTAAAAATAAGTAGGTTTACCACTAGAACCTATTTGATTTAAATTATATTCTGTGTATGCAAGATATTTTTAAATTGTTATAAGGAAGACCCCAATCTTACATATCAAATATCCATATGGCATATAAGACATAGAACCACTGTCAGAAGTTATCGCATGCCAAAAATTATGCGAGCCCGGGAAAAGAGCAAAAGTTTTACCCCCAAAACAGTGTTACAACAAGACCAACAGCAGTTACGACTACATAATAGTTAAGCGCCTTACAGCAAACTGTGTACCATGGAGCGTATACGCAATCTAATTTCGGCAGGCTAATTGCAACAGAAAGAGACAGCCGACTAAAGTTTACTTTGTGAACAGCTATGGGTTTCCCATCTCTGCTTCTTTCCACATAATTAACTTTTAATGGCAAAGCCGAAACAAATCCTATATATTTTAGACGCAAGTAAAATGCTTCGGGGTGATTGTTTATAAAAGAGAGAAAAGAGTAAATTGGCATAAACACAATCAAATTGAATTCTGAATAGGAATTTGATAGATGATGGATGATGGATAATGGATTCGATTGTTTAATTGAAATATTTACACAAAGCTATTGTTAGCCTTTGAGTGCAGTAAATTGAATCGGCAATAACAAAATGCATTTCAAATGGATTAAGTAATCTTGTACAGAGTCATTTTTGGCTTTATTTATTCGCAAGTTTAGCTCATGGCCAAATGGTAGCCCATTACCAAGGCTGGTTGGTTGCCATTGTTGATGGTTAAATGCATATTTCATGATGTCTGGGCCAGGTTGTCGTGTCCGCCAGCACAGCTGCAACTGCAAAACCTGAGTTTTCCGCTCTAGCCAGATTGTGACTGGCATTTCGACAGCTTTTCCGACGCCGCCGCCTCAGTTATTTTCGTTACTCTGACGCGTTATGGCGACCATGAACCGCACACACGGCTAAAAAAGCGCTCAGTGTCGCATGAAAGAGCCGAAAGCGCTGGGTTTCGGTGGGTTTGGCGGATTGGAGGACCGTAGCGGTGGTGGGTGGAAAATGTGCAGGCTGGCTGCCAAATGCGGCACGTTGAACAATTTAAAAGCAGCCGAACAATGGCTGTCTGGCAGAATCGCAGAGTGGCGAAAGTAACACGTTCGGAATGTGCCCCACGGTGAATGTGCAATCATTCATCTCGTGAACTACTCGAGAATGCATTCCTCCCGCTTTTGTATTTGTTTTTTTTTTCATATTTTTTTTAACCTGCCATCCTGTCTGTCTGTCTGTGTGTTATTGAAATGGAATTCAAAGGACTCTTCAATTTATAACGAGTTGTAGTTGGCTTTTTATCAATATTTAAGCAGGCAAAGGGCAAATCCTTACCGAAAGATTCCATTAGTTGGCTTTCAGATGATGCCCGCCCTGTTGAAGGCTCGCCCCCGGGGCGTATACGCAATCAAAAATGGTATATCACATGTCAAATTCAATCAGACAAAGCGCACGACATAATTGAAGCAAATGCGTGTGTGCTTTTGTCTCTGGACGGCAAACCATCCTCCCCGTTTTCATCTCTGTGCTCCCTCAGCCGGAGGCAGTGCTTAGAAACACTGGAAAAAAGTTAAGCTAATAAGAAAATCTATTTCAAATTGAAGAGCTTTGACCATTATTCTCCACAGAAAAGATAATGATTTGAAATCACTTGCAAAAACGCCTAAAAGTATGCAACAAAAGCGGTTAACTACCAAAGTACGGAGGATTGAGTTCGTTGTTATTTTGTATAGCATACTTTTAGGCGCATTTATAAGTTATTTGATTTATACGTATTCCTGAGCTAGCCCCTTTACATTTATCTCTTAATCGCAATTTATTAGTTTTTTTTGTGATGTTCATTTTGATTTTTTCTGTGTAATGTCATGCTGCCTAGACCAAATACCGAGAACGAGAAGCCGGCTAGTCAAGCAGTCATCAAACGAGACAACAGACAGCAGCAAGCCATATCAATTATTCAAGCATAATTTGAAACATTCTCATACTGAAGGGCTCTCCGTTGCTTTTGCTTTGCTCAGCAAGGGATTGTTTGCCTTTGCCCAGAGCTCTTAGCCCAGCAAGACTTTACTCGACTTTTTGCCTGAAAACTTTTTAAATAATTTAAATGAGTGGCGTTGCGAAAGTGATGGAGAAGTTTTGACAATCTTAACATTTGTAATATTTCGAAAGAGAGAAGCTTTGTATTGCTATTCCAACAGTTTGAAATGTTCACAGCTTCTAAATATGATATGTGCAAATCTTTTGAAACCAATTTATAAAAAGTTTAATATTCTTTAATTATTATATTGAGCTTATGAAACTCTTCAACTTTCTTTGAAAGACCAAGAGTAACAAAATTAACAAATTCAAACTTTGGCCACCAAGAAGCATTCGACTTCCGCATAAAGTTTTCAAAGTCTTTTCAAGTAGATGTATATACATATGTATGCCATTTGGCAAAAAGGATGTTTATGAGCGGCATGCGTGAGTGTGTGAGTGGGTTATCCTGGCGAATGGCAAAGTAAAGGAAGATAGGACACATCCACTTTCCCACTAATACCAATTAGTGTGCCCTGAAAAGCATGCTTCAAATTATGTCGTGTACGTGGGTGTGTGTTTTTCTTGTGAGCCAATGTATGACTGCGTGTGGTGCAATTTGTCAACCCTTGAAGGAGCACGATGAAGTTGATACCGCCTCGGGGGGGAAGAACGTCGAGCATATGCCGGAACATCGTTCCACCCACCAATAAATCCCCGTACAAAGCAGCACATCCAATGACCCGAAAGGCAGTATGTGTGTGCTTTGGCCTGATAAGGAAGGTACCAGCAGCAGTAACCGGAATAATAATAACAACATTGGCAACACGAGTGGCAACAAAAACATCTACTCCATTTGGCTTTCATCGTAAATTAGTTATTGGCATGTTATACTAAACGATAATGAAACTCATCCCCATCCTCCTTTCTTTTTTCTCCCTCTACTTTTAGCAACATGTGTGTGGCTTAAATCGGCGTTGAGCAGCTATAGCTACATCAAAATAATAAAAAAAAAACAAAACCACAACTTGAGGATACATAGTTAGTTGGCCTTCGCTTCTGGGCCATAAAATGCATTTACACTTTGAGCGAAACATCAACACAAAATGCGACTGCACGATACTCTCATTATCATGGATGGGAAAGGTGCCAGATGATATACCCGAGGTAAGTGCACAGTCATTAACGATTGACCAGACCATAGGCCATTAAAATGGAACTTAACAAGGCTGCACTGAGCGAAATTTAAGATATTTCTTAGTAGAAAGTTAGCCATTTGTAATGGTATAATGAGGCTTAATGAGCTCAATAGATATTTCTAATAAAAACTAAGAGTCAAATAGATTTTATTTGTAAATGTGTCTAAAAGTATGCAATAAAAACGCTTTAACCTGGAAGTAAGATGAATTCTTTTCGTTTTTTTTTCACAGCATACTTTTAGGCACCTTTATGTTATTTGAGCTTAAGTGTAAGGTAATTTCCTGAACCGCCATTAATTTTCCTTAGTGTGTGGCAAGGCTTTTCCCTTCTCATTTTGTGCGATGGCTGTCGGTGCAATATTAATACAATAAATACTGGACAAGGTCCATTAAGCTGTCGGACACTTTAAACTGTCAGGCGAAACTATTAAGACCGACCGTTGGCCATTAGCCAGAATGGATGGTGGTCAGCTCTTAAATGGGAAAGTGGCTACTGCCTGGATATTTCATGGCATCTCTGCATAATCTAGATAATCTTCATACTCGGCCTGGATAAATTTCACACATGCCGAACTTTTTCACACCGGAAGTGCTTGGGCCCGAAAACCCCCGTTGGGTTTGGCCAAACGGCAGGAGCTATTTATACACAAATATACACCCATTATACACCTTATTTTGAAGGACGTGGCAGGTGTCGCTGGTTTAGGACTCCCTAATGGCCACGTTGCACTCATTTTGGGCTTAAAATTGATTTTACACGCCATGTGTAAGCCAAAACTCAGGACGCCAGAAGAGGGTCCGTCTGAGTGGCCGTAACTTTTCCAATCATTATGAACTTTCAATGCCTGCACAACAAATGCCATATAATCCTTTTTATATTGAATATAAAAATCCAATCACGTCTGTCTCGGTTCTTTGGCTCCCATCTCATACACAACTTCCCCACCCTTGTGTTTTGTAGCGCAAAATTAAAGTTAAGTGAATGCGGCCCACGCAGCCTCAAGTGGATGCTCCTCCGTTGTCTGCGGTCCTTTTTGGTTCGGGATATATGCAGGATATTCCGGATGAGTTGGATAAGTTGGATGAGTTGGTTGAGTGGGATATGTTGGCCGGGTGGAATGTGTTATGTGCTGGTTATGCTGGTTATCTCGACCTCTCCTTTGTGCCGCGGTGCACACCACTCGAGCAATAAACTCGTTTGCGATTTATTTAACAGTTTTCAATTTCGTTTTCAACACAAACGAGTGCACTTGAAACAATTTTTATTTTCCTCTGGGATCTTTATTACAAAAAAGTTTACAAAGTTTTAACTACAGTTCGCCGAGCAACAAACAAAATTGGTATATGAACTAAATATTTACATTATTAAAACCTTCAGATAAACAATTTTATAGAAATCTTGACCAACTTACCAAATTATTAAATTAGTACGTATGTTGATTAAAAGAGAGTCAACTCAACTTTAAAACTAAAAATTTTTGTGCAATTGTAATAAAGTATCTAAATACAAAAGATTATAATTAAATGCTCTTTGTTAAGTTTAAGATTTTATTGATATTTATTTTTTTCCTGGTAATTTGTAAATCTGTTTTTAAATTGTAAATACAGTTGAAATAGGAGTGTTCTCAAAGAATTTTTTGTGATCTTCAAAGTATTTTTCCCAGTGATTTGGGGAGAACGTGTTCGTGTGGCTGCGGACACGTGTCGAGGTTTGTGAGAGACGCGTGTCTATCCCATCCCCGGACCCTCATAATGCTACCCCCACTGCCCAGTGTAACCAACCCATTTCCGTTTCCATTTCCATTCCGATTGAGTTTCCATTTCTGTTGCAAGTGCGCTAAGCCACAAGCTTAATTTATTGTTACGCCTTTGAGCAATTTACCAGCGATAAGCGGGAATTTCCACCCAATCCCAAACCAATTCGAACCCATTGGGGAGTTATACTCATTTCCATTTCCTCCCCACATAAAACATCTCAGCGAGAAAATGCGTATTAAAACAAGCGACAAAATATTCTGAAGTGATTTTTTAAGTACCCATCGCCCTCCACTCCTCATCGAAAAAGTAGTCAAATTTTTCTTGGGGATCATAATATTTTAACAACTGCAACATTAATAGAATATTGATGTGGAGTGCGTCATCGTCGGCGTAGCATGTTGATTTATTGGTGTTCTGTTTGTGCACACTTTGGAGGAAAGGCAGAAGGACATGGCAAACAATGACTGGACTGCAAGGGATCCTGTGGCTCCTTCGGGTTATTGTTTTTTTTTTCTTTCCTCTAAGGGTTGAACAACTGTCGCGGGATTTTCGCATAAATTGACGCAGCAAATTGACATGCCAGCGGACAAGGACACAAACTCAAATCATAAAATGAAATTTAATAGCCATCTTCTTGGCATATGACACACATGTCGCTTTTTCAAGGGAAATCCCAGGGTTCAACATCATAATTTCCTCTCTGGTGGGTTGGGCCTTATGAAAAATTCGTAACAAATAAAATCTAATGATTACTAAGTGATGAAACGATAAGGAGAAAAGGAAACTTTCAGAAGCTTTGGGGGAGTAATATTCCTTGCGACTTCAAAGGGTTTTTCATAAGCCGTAAGTTCTAGGGATTCAAAAACACTTACAAGTGTGTCTAAAAGTATGCAACAAAAAGGTAAGGAAGTACATTTGGATTGAAATTATAGTGTTGCATGCTTTTAGACAGCTTTTTAGGTGTTTTCAGAGGCAGCTTTAATAACCTGGATAATTTTCGATAATAATTTGACATTTAAATGTTTCAACTTGCCCAAGTAATATTTTAGGCCTAAAAGGGTAATGCATCTTTTATATACTTGAGTGTCTACTCATTTACTTGAGTTCCCTCCATATGCTTACAAATTCTGTGAAGCCCACGGGGCATTTAAACTTCCAGCTGAAAATGGGAATATATTTTGCATATTTATGCCAAGCACAGGAGTCTGCCGTATTTTTATGAACTCGCCTCTTCTTGCAAAAACTTTTAATAATGCAAAAAGAATAACAATTTCTGCTCGAGCTGAAGTTGAAGACGCTTACTGGTCCTGAAGATGAAGCTCTGAAGATGATGGCTTTTAGCTGGAATGGTTCACTTAGCGTAATTAACTTGGCAACTGTTGATGAAGTCGACGAACGTTGGAATTAGTGGCAAAAGCAGCGGCAGTAGCTATATCATCATTAGCAGTCGGTGGAGGGCTTAACATCATTAATATTTGCCAGTGCCATTGACACTGGACAATCCAACACGATCCCCCTTCCCATCGCATTTTGCTGAGTTTTAATTACGGGCAGTAAAAAATAATTGAGTTCTTTTCAATCTCCGTGCGGGGGCGACAATTGAGGAACTCTGTGTGACTGTTGAAAGCTGGTCACTGACCACAAAACCACTTGAATAGCCTCTGGACAGGACCACTGGCCACTGGCTAATTATGTGCAGCAGACCATTATGCTCGCAGTCGCGCATTTTGTGCTGGCAGTGCGTGCTTTAAGTTAATTTCCACCGGATCTGGATAATGGCCAACTTCTGCTACCTTTCCACTTTTCCGCTTTTACTGCAAGACTGGAAAAGGTTTTAGGGCAGTGGTGATGAAAAGGGTACTTTAACGTATGTTAGGAATGGTCTACTATTCTTGATACCTAAATATATAAATATATAAGAAAGGTATAATTTACAAGACTTGGTTATAAGTTTTCCTAGGTTTTTATCTTTATATGCATTTTTATCCCAAGCTGGTAAAGATTAATTATACCAATGTAGGACTAAAACATTAAAATAAAGTACCTAACCAACTAGATTTTTCTCCAGGACGTTATAAATCATGGTTATTTCCCCTTGGCTATTTAAAGACTGACTGTTAAATCGTTTTCTAGGCTGCCCCAGTTGTTAATATTCCTCGTTTAATATTTAATCAGGATTTTTCATCCTAAGACCGTAGTGATTTATTGTACAAACGCAGGGTTAAATTAAGTACCTGGCCAACTAGATTTTTCCCATGATGTTATAAGGCACGGATATTTGCATTTTGCTGTTTAAAGCCTAACTTTTGCCACCCTGAAAGTATGCAATGAAATGTTGAAAACTCATTTACGCATACACACACTTGTTCACGGAGATTTTCATCATGGGACGGCGTGCTCACGCGTAATAAATGTATTACGTGCCTGGCTTGTGGTAGTGCCGCCCCAGACCCACCCCTTTACCACCACCCCCACCCTTGCCTAGGCTTATTTAAACAGGAACATAAACCCCCGAAAAGCATCGCATTCCCCTGGAAAACATTCGCAGGCCTGGCTGTTTGTTACGCTTGTTGAACAGGTGCCGATTACAAGTGCCAATTTTCGTAGCTGCGCGAGTTAATTGAAAACTTTTTAATTGTTTAGGCAGCGGCAACATCTCGAAACAGACTTGGCTTAGTTTCTTGGTACTGGGGCCTGATTTACGACCAGGCTTCTGTCGTCGACAGTTTCAATTAGAAGGCACTCTGGCCAAGGACATTGCCGCTGGGAAATGGAAGGGGATTCCCGATTGGCGCCGCTTTTCCTTTGTGCATGCGATTCCAAACCATCGACCCTCGGCCACATCACATCCTTTTGCCGAAGGCGGCGCGTCTGCACTTTCGATTGTTTGTTCTTGGCTCTGAAAACTGTAATTTAATGTGCCCACAACGCTGCCACACATGTCTTGAGCGATGACTCTGGGCTACAGACAGAAAAAATGTATTAAACAACATTAAAATGGACTTAAATGAATCAAATCCAATAAATATTATGGAAGGGCGCCACAGAAATCTCTGGATTTGTCTTATAAAGCAGTCTAAAAGTATGCAACGGATTAAATCACACTGTCTTGGATTGATACCACATAAATGTTTTATTGTAGCATACTTTTAGACACCTTTTTCAGGTGAATTTGTGAAAACTATCTGTTTTATGAGGCATTATTGTTCT